TAGGGTTCTTTCAAGGCCATGGGTAATACTATCTTTAATTATGCACTGCAGTAGGAAAAAATAAAATAAACAAAAGAGAATTAGAGGTTTAAATTTTACATTAAATTTTTTTTTAAATGTAGATTCATTCAAAAGAAATTGTTAACTCTAACTCCGAAGTCCAATGCTCATTAAGGATAAAACAAGATCTCTGTTACATAAAATGAAATGATAGTGATGACAATCAAATGACTAAACGATTTCCGATTTGGTTGATTTTTTGCATGGATGATCCTTGAAGGAGAGCCTTGAATATAGATGGTTCAGATCACTAGATTGCAAAACGAAGAAAGAATGTCGCATTTTTCTTACATGCAAACATAATGATTCCAATGATTCCACAGCCCACCATGATACCCAGTAATGAACCCTCTCCCACTTGTATTCTTTCTCCAGCCCCTGGCAACATCAAGCAACCTTCTGTTCTACTCCATCCAAATAACCCAGAAAACAGCCATTAGAGCGCATTTAACAGAACCACGCCATCTTCATTCCTCCCAAAAACTTAAGCCTTTCACATTGCAAAACCACACAAGATTCTGGTATAACCCACCTCAATTTGGACTCCCTAAACAGCATAAACCATAAGAATCAAGAAGAGAAGATAAGCTCCTCCCTAAGCACTCTTATTACACATAACACAACAATGGGGAAATTATGTGCTCGTTTAATGACCAGGCCTTTTTTGTTCAAATTTCATCTACTTCTTCTCCACAAGGTACCAAATATCGGCAACCAATCTTCCAGTAAAACCCAAGTGTCAATAATCAAAAGGGGCAGAAGGTCTACCTTTCCAGACTTTTCTCCAATGTTTCGGACAAATTTCAGTAATATATAGTGTTTCAGTAGAATTTCACTGTTTTTTTGCAGAATTTCTGTCAAAATAAGTAGATTTTCAAGAAATGTTAAGGGATATTTAGTAGAATTTCAGCAAATCCAGCTGAATCTTGGATTAGGTGCTGATCACTTTCCTTCCAAGCCTACCACCCGCCCTCTTTACTAGAACCGAACATGGAGCCTTCTACTCTGAGAAGTTTGAAGAAAATAAATATGAAGTTGGGCGTTCCATTGTTTCTTCTCTGCCCACCTCAGGACGACGAAAGCAATCCCTAGCCTCATCAAAGCTCAAATTTATCAATGACTCCCATATGCTCCTCCCTTGTGTTTCTTCTGTAATTCAATGTACTTGGGTGTTTATGGTTATTTCTCTGCTGTTTCATCCTGTATTGCTGGTTGTTTCTTCTTCGATGAAGTTTGCTGTTTCTGCTCTTCCTAAGAGAGTACTCTAAGTTGTTTTAAATTTTATCCTTAATATTGGGCCTTTGGCTCTTTTAATGAAGTAATTTTCGAAAGAAAAAAGAAAGATAAAGATGAGAAATTTACACATCTAGTTTTTGCAATATAGATTAGTATAACATTTCCTAAGCCTATCTCTAAAATTTTCATGTTTCAAAATAGATGTTCATCATTGTTTAGTTTTCCCTGCCATTTCGACAAATCTGTACTGAAATATCTACTAATATCAATTTTTTAATCCTTGTATCTTCGTAGTAAAAACATCACAATGCGTAATTATCAATGGTTGTTATCTGGATTGTAAAGAATACTCAATTGAAAGATTGCAGACTATAGTAATAATTCCCAGCAGATACCTGTGCAAAGTCAAAACGGCTAGACCTGCTAGGCTTTGTTAATATGTTGTCTACAGCCTTCTTAACTTCAGCAATCATTGTCTTGAACAGATCCTAAGAAAATAAAGAATGAGGGAAGAACCCACATGGAAACAAGTAACAACAAAATTTAATAGCCAATAAGAATGAGGGAAGAACCACATGGAAACAAGTAACAACAAACTTTCAAAACCATTTTGTTTAGAATAGGAGAGCAATGAAA